AACAAGCGCGTTGGTTTACGTGTAGCTGCCGCCTGTGCACACACATACAGGTAAATTCGCCGCCCGGCTTCATTGTGCAGCCCCCTCTTCGCACATTTTTGGTCCTTCTCAGCCGGATTCTTCACAAAATCGTGGTCTTCGTATTAAGTTGATTTTTAGTTTTAAGGTCAGCACGTCGCACCAGCACTGGTCGATAATGCCACCGAAAACTAAGAAAATTGAATCTGAAATGGCCGAGCAAGCGCTGGAATGCGCGCGAATCGCTCGAAACCGCGCACAAAAATCAATATCTGATATTTTGAACATCGCGAGGCTATCTGTGAGCGATCCCGCGAAACGTGAACAATTATCCGCTAGTGTAAAACGCTTAGATAGTCTTTTCTCTCGTTTTCAAGCTGAACAAAATGTTATTATTAATTCATTGGTCGTTGTCGGTCGTTCCGATGAGTACGAATCGATCGATTCACCCGTAATGGATACCGTCGAAGCCGTTGTTGACGAAATTCGCGAAATTGTTGATCGAACGTCCGAAGTAACCGCGGCCATACAACCGGTGCCGTTTCGACAAGCGTTTAGCACGCTTCCGAAAATTGAATTGCCGTCGTTCGATGGGTCCATAACAAATTGGTGTGCGTTCCGTGATAGTTTTAAATCTCTTGTACATGAAGATTCCAATGTCGATAATATACACAAATTTCAGTTGTTGACACAGAGTCTGACCGGTTCTGCATTATCCGTAATTAAATCTATTCCGTTGTCGGCGGCGAATTATAACGTTGCGTGGGCAGCGCTCACCGACCGATTTGAAAATAAACGATTGCTCGCAACTGCTCATTTGGACAAGCTTTTCGCTTTCAAACCTATCGCTCAAGAATCAGTATCAGCTCTGACTACGTTTTTAAATATTTTTAAAGAAAATGTCTGTACGTTAAAATTACTCGGAGTTGAAGATCTCGCGGGTTTTATGTTGTTTTTTCTGGGTTCACGTGTATTAGATCCGAAAACCCGTCAACTGTTTGAAGCGGATGTGTGCCAATCCACTATTCCGGATTTTGATACTCTCATTAGTTTTGTTCAAAAACGTTTGAAAATATTGGAGAACATACAGGGCGTCGCCAAGATTGAAAACCGATCTAATAAATTTCAAAAACCTATAGCATCGAAGTTAGCACTTACCGCCACGAGTAATCCTATTCATAAGAATAAAGGCCTGTCGTCGTCTTCGTCAAAATTGAACAAACCTAAACATTGCACTATTTGTAATCGTGGTGAACATTTTCTGTATCATTGTCCGGAATTTAAAACATATTCCGTATCACAACGTCGGGAATACGTTAAAGAAAATAAACTGTGTTTTTCGTGTATGAGTTCAACACACATGGTGGACACATGTAGATCCAAATACCTGTGTGGGAAATGTCAGCAACGTCATCATTCTTTGTTACATTATCAATCAGTCTCAGAACCTTCGACCACCACCAATCAGGAACACGCTCCAATCAACGGTGAGGAGGGCGGAAGTGCCAATACTAAATTTTCGGGCATGTCAGCGTCCGGTAGTACGGTGTTATTGGGTACAGCCGTTGTTCGAGTTCTAGATGCGCGTGGCAATTATCATTCTGTGCGTGTATTATTGGACAGTGGTTCTCAGATATCGGCAATTACTACGGATTGCGTAGCTCGCATTGGTCTGTCACGACGTAAATGCGAAAGTGAAATAGTTGGTTTGTCTCAAAGTCCGGTGACCCAAGTGAGAGGTAGCACATCTTGTTCGTTTATACCACACCATACTCCAAGTCCAAAATTCAATTGCCATGAGTTAATAATACTGCCCAAATTAACGTCTATTCTACCGTCTACGCCACTGCCGCCAGCGGTACGCACACGATACCAACATTTAATATTGGCCGATCCCCAGTTCGACACTCCGTCTCAGATCGACATGTTACTTGGAGGTGATTTATATCCGTTTCTTATCCGTTCTGAGTCGATGGTAAAACACACTGCCGGTTTCCCTTCAGCCATGGACAGCCATCTGGGATGGATTATAATGGGATTAGTGAACCCTCTTGGTAAGGCTTCCACCCCGCGTATATCATTGCTGCTTACATCTAGTCCGTCGATAGACTCTCTACTACATCGTTTTTGGTCAATTGAAGAACCCGTTGCTCCCGCAGTTCCTACCACGGAAGATGAGTTGTGTGAGAGGTGGTTCACCAAATCTACATCACGAGATGCAGATGGGCGTTTTTGTGTCGCCTTACCGTTTCGACATCACGTTTTCACAAATGACGATGGAACTCAGATATCTACTTCAAAGTCCGGAATTAGTTCGTCATCATGTCAACTCGGAGAATCACGGTCCTTAGCCTTGAAGCGTCTTCTGAACTTAGAGCTTCGCCTCCAAAAAGACAAACAATTGTACGAGTCGTATCGATCCTTCATGAATGATTACCTATCGTTAGGACACATGAAAGTCGCTACTCGACCTGGCAAGTATTATATACCTCACCACGCGGTAGTGAAGCGGGACGGCGATACATCCAAATTACGGGTCGTTTTCGACGCTTCGGCGAAGTCATCGTCAGGGGTCTCTCTCAATGATACTCTTTGTGTTGGGCCGAAATTACAAAATGACTTGAGTGAACTCTTACTCACATGTAGATTGTACAAATATATTTTCGTTGCCGACATTGTCAAAATGTACCGCCAGATCAGGGTCCGTGAAGAAGACTGCGTGTTCCAACACATCCTTTGGCGACATTCCCCGGAACAGGAGATCCAGGAGTATGAGTTATTGACAGTGACATATGGTTTGAGTTCCGCTCCATTCTTGGCCATACGTGTCTTACACGCTTTGGACGCATGCTCGGAACCATTATATTCCGCCGCCAAGGGCGTCTTAACCAATTATACCTACGTCGATGACATTGTGGTAGGACGGAACACCGAAGCGGAGTTAGTTCAGGTGCAAAACCATACCATAGGACTACTTCGAACAGCTGGTTGTAGCTTGAAAAAGTGGTGCAGCAATAGTTCCAGAATTTTGGACTCGATTCCGCCTGAAGATCGCGCTAATTGTCCTTCTTTTGAACCTAAGGATGAGCCATCATTGAAGGTACTCGGCCTACATTGGAATCCCGCTATCGATGTTTTCGGATACCACACGCACGTTGAAGACACGCCCAATACGAAGCGAGGGGTATTGTCTGCCATTGCCAGATTGTTCGACCCCATTGGTGCCCTCGGTCCGATGTTGTTGTGGGCAAAATCTTTTATGCAACAACTTTGGCAGGCACAATTAAAGTGGGACACTCCGCTGCCTTTACACCTACGGACCGCATGGCGTCATTTCTTGTCAGAGTTGCCCTCGTTAGGCAATATAGAAATCGCTCGCCATATTGACACCAGAGGATTTCAGGATGTCCAATTATTAGGGTTTGCCGACGCGTCGCAAAAGGGCTATGCTGCGACAGTGTACCTCCGCGTTGTCGATATGACGGACAAGGTGTCCATATCCCTTGTGACGTGCAAGACCAAGGTCGCTCCCTTGAAAGGAAGTGAAAAGGACGAGTCTCTCACCATACCTAGATTAGAGCTGTGCGCAGCCCTCTTATTGGCCCAATTGTTACATCGGCTCTACCTGAAAATCTCTTTTGTTGTTCCAGTTGCACAGGTACGTGCTTGGACAGATTCGTCTGTAGTGTTGTCGTGGCTTACTACCGATCAAAAGTTTTTTAAGGTTTTTGTTACCAACCGAGTAGCCAAGATCCATTCCCTACTTCCAGATTGCACCTGGTCTCATGTGCCTACCATGGATAACCCTGCCGATCCTTCTTCACGTGGATTATTGCCTGACGACCTCGTAGCTTGTAGCCTACATTGGAAGGGTCCACCGTTCTTACATTTTCCTGAGGAAAGTTGGCCAGGGCCACTCGTCCAATCCCTCAATCCACACCACTTACCTGAGGTGAAGACTGCGTCCGCGTGCGTGTTAGTAGTACGAGAAGTACCGAATTTTGACAACTTTTTACTTAGATTTTCGTCGTGGTTTCGTCTTCAACGGGCATTAGCATATGCGTTGCGCTTTATAGACCGTGCAATTATCAAGCGCCCAACCAACGCAGACGTTCTCACACAGGATGAATTGCAGCGTGCCATACGACTGGCCGTTCGTGTTACTCAACGTACGCACTTTCAAGAACTCCTTAAACAACTGGCCAAACACAACCACATAGTGACCCCTCCGACTATGGCTCAGTTAGCTCCTTTTCTGGATCATACTGGCTTAATTCGAGTAGGCGGCCGACTGCAGCGATCAATGTTGTCTGATGATGCGAAACACCCATATCTACTTCCGAAAGACTCTCATGTCACTTCGCTGATCATCACGGCATTACACCGGAGATTCTTACATGCAGGGCCGAAGCTTATAATCGCTATGTTACGTCAGGAGTTTTGGGTTGTATCTTGTCGAGAGGCCGTTCGTCGTATAATTTTTAAGTGCGTCACGTGCTCCCGCCACAAAGCTCTACACCCAACCCCTCGTATGGGCATACTTCCTGAAGCTCGCGTTCATTCGGTTCGCGCGTTCTCTAGTGTCGGCACGGATTATGGAGGACCCTACCTCATTAAAGAATGTAAAAGACGAAACACTAAAACCACTAAAGTTTACCTAGCATTATTCGTGTGCATGGCCACCAAAGCCATACACGTTGAAATTGTTTCCGATTTGACGACCGAAGCGTTCCTCGCTGCCCTAGACCGATTTATCGCACGCCGAGGTGTACCAGCACATGTGTATTCTGATTGCGGCACGAACTATGTTGGCGCCGCTCGTCAACTAAGACGTATGTTTCGTAACAAGGACGTCCAAGCCCAAGTTTCCGCGCGCGTCGCTTGTAACTGGCATTTTAACCCACCAGCCGCACCGCATTTTGGCGGTCTCTGGGAGGCGGGTATCAAAAGTGTAAAATTCCACTTGAAACGAGTGATGGGCACTCAGGTGCTCACCTATGAAGAACTCGAGACATTGTGTGTTCGCATCGAGGGAATTCTCAACTCACGCCCACTCACTCCAGTTTCGACGGACCCTCAAGATTTCACCGCCCTGACGCCCGGACATTTCCTCATCGGACAGCCTCTCCTAGCAGTGCCGGAAGAGAACTTCACCGAGGTTCCCATGAATCGGCTCACACGTTGGCAGCTCCTTCGACAGCTGCATCTATCATTCTGGAAACGCTGGGCCCAGGAATACCTGAATACATTGCAAGGTCGTCAAAAATGGACTGCCATCCAGGACAACCTCAAGGTGGATGATCTCGTGATCGTTGAGGCTCCAAGTCAACCCCCGTCCGTGTGGCGTATGGGACGCATCACCGCGGTCCACCCAGGTCCTGATGAGACGGTCCGCGTAGTCACGATTAAGACACAAGATGGGGAGATTAAGCGACCAGTCGTCAAAGTGGTCAAGCTGCCAACCAATGAGTAAGTTTTCTTGACATCCACTCGTGCTTCCTCTATCCTTACTTTTAACATGTTTTGGTATATTTGTATATTTGTATATTTGTATTATTTTTATGTATTTATTGTAACCGCAATTATTGTTATGTGTGCGACCTGGCTTCTCAACGTCAATTCTCTGATGGTTCCTTGAAAGCCCACGGCTTTCAACGGGGGGAGAAAATGTTGGGTACGGATCCGTCACACGTCGCGCGGACTTCGGTCGACCGTTCGTCGTTATCGCCCTATCTCCCACCCCGAGCACACGCGCTTCATACGACACTTATCTCGCCGTTGTCGCGCGTGTTTATGTTATCGACTTTGCGGTCCGTCGTCTCTCGTTCCGTTGTGCGTCGCCCAGCCATCTTGGTTTTTTTCGTTCTCACGGAATATTGTGTCTTATACTTTTGCGGCCGTTTGCGCCAAAATCACCGCCCGGACAGTGCTAATGTCCGTTTCGTGTTGTGTCATTCTGCACACACACGAAGTTCATTTCTTTGTGGCCGTCTGCGCCAAAACTACCGTTTTTGTTTTCGCCCGCCCGTCGTTGTACGCAGTGCGATCCGCCGTGGTCCCCGCGTGGTGTTCG